CACACACACACACACACATAGAACAACCAAATTACCTCCTTTCATGTGGTGACTTTCATTTATTAAAAATTGAAAAGACACACACTTCATTGAAATATAACTTTCAATGCCATTTACACAGAGTCTGAACAGTTTAGATTAATAAGGCTCATTTTTGCCACATAATGTAATCAAGGTTATAGCTACACAATGGCGAGTTGTAATATTGAAGTCATTTCACCACAAATGTTCGAACCAGAAACCTATTTTGAAGAAGAATAATGAAACAGAAACTCCCACCCTGCAAGTCAACAGGATTGTTTCTTTAGGTCCGTTATGTAGGAAACCCACAGAAGTTTGAAATTGGGTTTTTGAGGTCACTTGGAGCTTCGGGTTAGAAATGCTCAGCCATGGTGTTGACTGCTTATTTCACTCATGAGTCTAGCATATGAAACACCCCGTGTGGACATGTTAAAAAAGTAAAATTGGAGACGCCGCTATAGCTCACCGGGTTGAGCGTCCCATGTATAGGGCTACAGTCCCGATGTGGAGGTCATGAGTTTGAATCCTGCTCATGACCCTTTCCCACATGTCCTCCCCACATTCTTCTCCCCCATTTTCCTGTCTCTCTCTCACTGCACTATCAAATAAAGGCACAAAGGCCAAAAAAATAACTTAAAAAAAAAAAAGGTAAAATTTTCGATTTTCACCCATGCAGCAGGTTGATTGATATGATGAGTGTCTACAATGTGAGAGTCAGATTGGTCAGGATCTAATGGCAAATTGCAATATGTACTCTTTTGGTCACAGTTTCTAAGCTGCAGAGTCTGACCTACATCAGAAGTGTCAAGACATTTTCGTTTTACTGCACGTAAAACTAATCTGTTACTCTGGAAAGTCGAAATTTGTCATGTTAAGTAAATATTAGGGAGTTTTTTGAGGCTTTTACTGCTTAAGCTCACCATATACAAAACACAAAGATGTCACTGTTACTCATTCGTATATACAGGAGGCTGTCTTGGTAATATTAGCGTAATATCGCCATAGGATACAACAATAAAACCACTTCATTGGTTAGTGTAGTTACTTAAACTGTCATTTTGCCAATAGAGACAGAATTTTCAGTTTAAATTCCACTAATAAAAAAGACATTTCATCAACAACTCAGACAGAATATTCGGGGTTATGTGTGTTATTGTGCTGTGGGACTTCACGCTTTGCCAAGATTTACTCTCAAATGCACCACAGCGAATAAATAATCCACCATTATCCATCAGTACAGTCAATGTCCACTGGAATGAATAGACTCTGGGAATTTTGTCATTAGTAATATTGACAATGTGGTCTGAGTTGATGAAAACTTAATTTAGTTCCTTTAATTAAACTTTAAGTCTACCACTTTGAGGACCTGACCATAGCTGTTTTACTTCTATTAGCTCATGGCTGTAATGCGTTGGAATATTTATCCTGCACAGTTCCACCAGTTACTGTAAACAGTGAAAAAGAGGGCGAGCAAGAAGTCATGAAAACTGATTATTTCTGTGATTCAGCATCATGTCTCAGCACATTTTATTGTTGTACTGATGAGCGGTGATGTAACCAAACATCATTATGTCATTCTTGCTGCTCTGCGTTTTCACCTGCGCAAATTACAGCCTGAGCGAGTCGCTGCTCAACTCCTTGGTTGTGTACAGCTTCCCCACATTGCTCTCAAGGTCTGCCACTATGAATAATAATGACCCTGTTTTCCGTGTCAGGCTAATACAGTCATTACAGCCGGGGTTGTTAACTGTCCGTGTAGAATGTATGATGATGGCGGAAAGGTTAGGGAACTCAAACACATTAAACATCATTGACCTGGGCCACTCAGGTGCTATTCATGCGCTGAAAACAAAATGAATGCAATAAGATGGGAATCCAGCAGTGCAAACTATTGGCGATCGGTGTTAGAGTTTTGTGCAGCTCTCTATGGATTAACTAAACGGACAAACCATTTGCTGCATTACCTGTATCCAGGACACCAGTATTCTTGGAATTGCCGGACTACCTGGAGGTAGCTCACCGTAATTACTGTGTCACACTGTTTCAGCAGCGAAGCTATCATCAGATTCTTTCCAGGTCATTCACTATTTTTAATAATAAGCTATTATTATAATGACTACAGGGAATAACACAATGCATTAGACACTGTCACCGCTGCCACAAATCCATGCTATAGCGTTAATCCAGCTTACCACAAGTCCAGTATTATATTAGCAAGAATTGAGCGCATTAAGAGCAACACAAATCCACTCCATACCTGTACGTAGCAGGCGTGCATATGTCTCTGGGGACTCGCTCTTTGTATTTTTGTAAAGGCCACTGCTGTAGGTCAAATGTTGAAATTCAGCGCTCCGGCAAAGACGATATGTGGTTTTCTTAAGCAAGAGGAGCACCTCATCCTTCTCATTAGGAGCACTATATATTTCATATGTGAGACCCCTGTCGCAACGCTTGGGAGACCCCGTGTCCTCTTCTTCCTGGCCGGTCGATTAACGTGCCATGAAAACCACTCCTTCAGAGAGAAACCAATTACGTAGCCAGCGAGGAGTAGCCATCTCCAGGGCTTACTCTTAATTGGCAGTCACGGTACATGGCAGACCACAGCCGTCCTCACGCTAATTCCTCTGAGTGCCCAATGTGTTAATTAGCAGGTATTGATACTGCTCAGCTGTATCAATATCATATTAATCCACACTTGCACTTCACACGGTGTCATCTGTGTGTTTCTAAGTCTTGACGAGATGTCTCTCCTGTCCTGCCACCTCTTTCTTAATTTCTCCCTCGCTGCCTCTGTCTTCATCACTCCCGGTTTTGTCTCCATCTTTTTTTTTTTTTCTCTCTTTCTTTTCTCTTGGCACATATTGACCAGTCAATTGTCTGTGTCTCACCAATTAGAACACAGAGCCATTGATTGTGTTTGTCAGCCATTGTCTGTGGTGAGATATGGCAGCCCACAATTAACTACAGCTACGACAGCCGATAGTGTATCAGCACTGGTGGAAGGCAGTGTGGGTTTTTTTTTTTTGTGTAACCTCTGGAATGTAGCAGACTCTTAGCAGGGTTTTGTATGTTCGCATTCTTAAACGTGTATCAGTACAAGCCTCCACAACAACTTCAGCGCTCTTTGAGATAAACTCTGCAAGTTTCTGGAACTTTCCTGGAGATATGGTGGACAACTCTTCAAAAAGATCTAATTTTGACCAATATTATCAGCCAGTTTCTCTAACTTGTTCTTTTCCTTTCATTACATGGTGCTGCCTACATTTGCTAGACCCTATAGAGAACATAATAAACATAAATGGCTAACTGTCAGTCTTCATGTGTTGAAGCTCAGACCAGGATTATTAGCGTGCACACAACAGCAGTGCACTAAACTCAACTGAACACAAAAGTCAAGTTAATACATGAGGTCTGACTCTGTGAGTATTTTCTCTATTTAGTCAAATTACATTTAAATATTAAAATGAATGAGAACAGGTTCTCCCAAAGATAGTTTACAATCTGCGCTGTTCTAATACATATTTATAATTGTAATTATGTTACCGATGTGATTTGGTTGGAGCACAACAATCCGTGCAGGAACAGACTGGTCTCTTCTCCCTTGGACTTAGCCAAGCAGAAGGCCTCGAAGCAACCTGAGCAACAAAGAGTTCAAGTGTGCAATTAAAACGTGCACTAAGGTTCTGTTTGAAATTAATAACAAATACAGAAATTTGAGATTTTTGCTGTGGTATTGTTTCAGTATCAAAGTCAGAATTTTGGTATTGTTGCAACAACATGGGAAACACTTGTTTGCTCTCTTGCTGCGGGTTATGTGAGGAAACTGATAAGATTCTCGTTTCTGTCATTTAAATGCAAAGCCACAGCCAGGAAATGGTGAACTAAGCTGTCTTAGTTTAGCATGAAGATGAGTTGGCCCAGGTCTACTTTAAAAAGTCGCAAACTCTGCTTACAAGCACCTCTACAACTACACTTTGTAATTTTTGCACTTTGAGCATTGTAAAGACTAATGTTGTTATTATTATACTGGAAAATCTAATATTCCCACAAAACCTTGAAAAACACTAATATTTGATCAACTTTTTGATACAATGAGAAAAATTGCCACAACACTAAACGCATAAAACTGTAGGTTTTTATTAAAAGAAATAATATAGCAAGGATTTTACATACTGAGATATATACAGTCGTGACTCGATAATCCAACACTAAATGTAAAACCTTATTTTATGTCGGATTGTCAAGACGGAGGTCGAGATACAAGGAGGGCTTGATGCTTGAAGGGTAATTTGTTATTAATATTTATTGTTTATAGTTGTTATAATAAGTAGCGTATTGTTAGAACACTACGCATCGCTTGATTTCATGCTTAATTGACCGGTGTGATTGTGCACAGGCCGTTGGTTGACATCAAAGGTAAGTAAGGCTACGTTCAGATAGCAGACTAAAGTGACCCAAATCTGATTTTTTTGCCCCTATGCGACCTGTACAGTCTGAACAGCACAGATCCAATTAATGATGAATATCCAAATATTCGGCGCGGTGGGGGGGGGGACACTTCCACCCCGGGGTGAGCGCTCCGACGGGGTGGAAGTGGCCAGAACACACAGGCAATACTTGGCTGCTGATGCCAGATTAAGACAGCGGTCACACTTCTGTTTCAACCATCGTTGACAGCGGGGGAGTGGCAGGCGATTTTAAAGTTTTTAGATTAACTTTAAAATTGCAAGACACACTCCACCGTTACCATCCGTGTTTACTTCCGTGAACGTCGTCGTGTCCTCTTCTGCGCATGCGAGACACTTTTGGGTCGTATGAAGTTCACACAAGAGATCTCATACATGTCGCATTTAACTGGAAATGTGAACAAACTCGCAAAAAAATTGTATTTCACAAAAAATCTGAATTGAGCATTAAGTCCTGCAGTCTGAACGCAGCCAATCTGTCGTATTAAGTCAAATAATACGCCGTTATCCTTATTTGTGACATTTCCGTTCGTTTTTCCTAAAAACCTGTCGGATAGCAATGTTTTCAGATTGTTAGGGGTCGGAATGTCAAGTCACGACTGTATTTGAATTAATGAAGATGTCTTGAGGCTGTGCACTTGTTCAGAAGCCTCTGAGGTTGTCACATATTCAAAAGGCAAAGTGCGATCACATGTATTTCCTGTTGTTAGCGCTTTATTTTAGCACTGCTTTGCATCAACCCTTACATATTACCTTGTGTCAGCTGCTGGTTGCACAGATTCTGCACTTGCCATCTCTCCAACGCCATAGCAAAGTGCTTTTCAACCTCAGCGAATAAGACAGATGATGAGAAGACGATGTGAGTGAGTGAGAGAAGGTGGAGCTCTCTGAGCGCTGTGTGTCAGTTTGCTGTCAGAAGTTAGAGCGAAAATATGTAGCTGGTATCTGTATATTAGTGGTGTGGAAAATGAGTGTTGTAACAGTTCCAAATGTTCAGAATCGATACGTGTTGAGAGATGTATGTTTTTGACAACACTTTGACAAGCAAAGGTGCTATAAAATGGTAATTAGTGCATTTTAAAGGTGCTGGTAGGTGGATTTTATTACATTTAGACAGAGCCAGACAAGCTGTTTCCGCTTTTCTAATATTTATACTGACAGATATGCGTGGTGTTCTCACCTCCCTCAGGGCCCCAAAGAAAAACGTTGCAGTATTACTTCTATATTTTAGCACTCCGTGATTTTAAAATACAAAGGGGGATTTCTGCATTTATAGTTGAAACACATTTCCCCAACGTCTGTACCTCTGCGGGTTTAAACAAATTTATCCAATTCTACTGTTTTAATGAAATATAGTGTAGTGTACAGAGCAATAATACCAAGAGCCAAGGGGCAGCGACTCCTCAACAGTGCTGCAACGAGGACATTATAGCGTCATATATGGTGTCTCTCCGCTCTGCTCCCCGGAGACTGTGTGGGGATGCGGAGGGTAAAAATAGAAATGAAGTATTGGACATTCAACCCTCCTGTGGAAAAGGGGACCGGGTTTCCCATACTGAGAGGAAAGCCCATTTGTCTCTCCGGTGTGCGCATTAGCCAGCGAGGCCAGTGTCTCTGTTTGGACAAAATCCCCACAGCCTCAAAGGAGAGAGGATGGAAGCTGAGAAAGTAGAAGAGGAAAAGGAACAAAAGAGAGACGGCTTCTGTTCCATGATTAGCAGAGTAAGTCCGCGTCAACGGACCGGCCGGATGGACCGAGGGAACTCAAACGCGCCCGGTTCCAGCCTGGAGTGCTAATGCTCAAACTGCCACGCGGGCCTCCATCTCGCAGGAATCTCTGTCACTCTCTCAGACAAAGCCAAGCCGAGATAAAGGAGGCGCATTAGTAGCCAGACGCCCACCAGCTTTCACGTCCTCTCAGGGACAGAGCAGTGCGTGAGTGGCAGGCAGAGGTGGGAGGTGATGGGATGCTGGACAGACTCTTCTGAAGCGGTCCCATTCCTATTTAAGCAGAATATAAGCTCCTTCTCACAGCTCGGGGAATTGTGTCTCATCCCATCCTTATTTTTTTTCTTACCTTCAATCTTTTCCAATTTTTTTTTTGTATTTCCGTCTACCTCTTTCTGTCACCGTGGCTCCAAACATGCATCTGCTTGAATCCGACGTCTCTTTGTCTGCCTTCTTTGTCATTCCAACATGAGTGCAAAGGCAGGCGGAGTGCAGCAGGGTGACATTTTGTGTGTGTTGTTAAAGCAGTAAAATAAACATCTCCGCTGTTTGTCACGCGCCGTATCCAAGGGCAACATCTCTCTTCTCTAATGATAACCCAACCGACTGCCTGATGCAAATGAGACTGGCGCACACAGGTTGCTGAACCTGCACGCTGTAGTTTCATCTTGCACAGATGGAACAATGTCACCACATGATGGGGATGTCTAGAGGGCTTTGTGTTTGTGCGCTTGCGAACATGAACATGCTCATGTTTTAATGGATCGAGGTTGCAGTTCATAAATGCTTCTGTGATTTAGAGGTCGGCGGTCATAAATCTGTGTGATTAGTTTCTTTTTTATCACTTTTTTTTAATTCGTATCTCTTTGCTCCAGGTGTGGTGTTCCACTACCGGGCCCCTCATGACCGCTACGCCTTGTCCTTCGCTGATGCCATGAGGGTTTGCGTGGAGAACTCAGCCACCATCGCAACACCAGGTCAGCTGCAGGCTACCTTCGCTGATGGCTTTGACAACTGCGACGCTGGCTGGCTGTCCGACCAGACTGTTAGGTGAGGCTGTCAGGTGCAGTCAGTTTGAGTGTGTTGGTGTTGGAGTAACTCTCAAGAGGACGCTCTTTACTGTCGCTATGGTTGCTTATGCGATACAACTTAGCGTCTAGGATGCTGTCAGCATTAATGCGATTGCAGTAAAGAGCATCATCAGGGGTGATATTTCAACAAAGTAGAATGTATTAAGAGGAAAAAACACCAACTATCCCCCTGGTTTGAGTTGGCATGGCAACAAATAAAATGCATTGTGGGAGTTATAAACAGAGTTGTGAATGTTTTGAAGGGAATTACCTTTGCATAATATGTGCTGCTGTCTTCATTGTGTCAGTCATGAGTCTGTCCTGCTGTTTGGGTAAAAATGTACGCCTGCATGATCCAAAATGCGGTGAGGTTGTTCCTTTGATTTAATTCTCTGAACTTCAAGCAGTTTCAGGGCCTCCTCACTGCACCTCCACGGAAACAGCACAACTATGACTGTATGAGCAACTTATTTTACAAAAATGTGGTGTTACCAATACTACAAAAAAATTTATCTACTCACTGTAGATATTTTACTACTTAAATTTTTATTTTGCTTCCATTCTTGCCTCCTGCCTGCTCTGTGTAAATAAATCCTGCAGCATAGCCACAAAACTCCCTGAATGTTTGTCAAGTGACTGCTGATTCACTAATGACGTCACAATTGCGCCGAAGAATGCAGAATTTTCTGTTTTTTTACAGAATGTGGTGAGATCAAACAGTTTGTTTTTGGCAAATTTTGAAGTGAAAAAAACACATCTATTCCATGAGACAAGTGTGTCGGAGAGGGACAAGAAAGTCTAAATGAATATTCCACATGCTGTCTAACTTAGAAAGATACTTTGATAAGGGCGATGTTTTGGTGTGAGACCTTTATCATGCGAATAGTAGTGGACTATGCAACCGATGACATTGTACTTATAAATGTGTCTATGTGTCAAGTTAGACATTGTGCAGGAAGCTGAAGTTTTTAGATGAGAAATGTAGAAAAACATGAATTTGATGAAATGTAATGATTTGGTTAAGTTTTCCCAGCAGGACACCCTGTTGCAGATGATTAGTTCAAGGACTGTTGGAACACTGAAAGTGTTTTTCGGTCCCTGGTTCTAATATATAATGTGATTTTAGCCATTTAACAAGATAACATGCCTTTTAAACTAGGCTTTGGCTTTGTAAGGGTTTAATCAGAGCTGAGAAGCAAACAGCATCTGAAATCCAACATTACTTCATCCATTGTTTCATAGACTGCAGCTCAGTCTGACTGTCAGAGATTAAATAATAGTTAACTGACTTGGGTATGAAAGAAATAGTTTCTTCTAAACCAGGTTGTTGATTTGTTGATAATTTAATGATCAAACAGTCTAACAAAAAGCGAATGCAGGCTCTTAATAACAATATGTCAAACAGAAAAGTTCCGTCAACTGTGTAAAAGTATGAGGTATGTCAGTGGGAAAGTCATTTTTTATCCTTTTGGACTTTTTAATGAAGGTAAACTGTGCAACATAATTGGACCTAATTGCTTGTTTGCACACTGGAAAGGCATTTAACTACATGTGCCCCCTCTGAGCTGTCTGTCAGGCTGCTGCATGTGCTTCAGCTTGCCACCTTCCATTAAGTCCCACTTAACGTTACCAGTCGGCGCTCGCCTCTCCACACTGTTTTCCATATCTACATTTTAATTTCAAATCATTGTTGCTCCAGTCGGCAAGCAGATTGACTGTTGTCTTCCTGACGTTTTTTTTTTTTTTTTCTTTTTTCCCGACGAGCTTCCCGCAGCACAGCTTCCTTCCCCCCCTCCTATTTCTTTCTCTCTCTCCCTTCCGTCCTGCTGCTCCTGTTGTTTTCACTCGGGAGCTTTTCTAATTGGTCCAGATACAGGAGACTCTGACTGCACATCAGCCAGGAGGAAAGTGTCCAATTAATACAGGGGGGGGAAAAAAATACAGACATCAGCCGTCGTTTCATCAGCCACCAAGCAGAAAGAAAGCGGCCGAGACCAGAGACACTACAAGACTCGGTTCGCTTGTTAGACTCTGATGGAAATAGGTTGCTGTAGAAGATTGCAGGTTTATGGTTGTGTGTAGGCATGCGTGCTTTCTGCATGTATATTTGATTGTGTGTGTGTGTGTGTGTGTCTCTTTTCCAAGTACTTCATAAGTCCCTGTATGCCCAGCGTAATCTTTTAATCAGCCTCCATGCTCGTGCCCTGGTGCTGCTGGAATCAATGTTCTTGTGGAATAATTGCTCAGTCGGAGCCTAAATATAGATCGCTGTTTTCTCAGCCCCACAGGCATGCCAAGCCACTGAAGGAATTCCTGATTCTTTTTAACCTCCCCTTGACTTCCTACCTCTACCTCTTTGTCTACGTCTCACTCTAAACCTTGAGTGTTCCTGGCATTCTTATATTGCCGGAGCATTAAGCACCTTCTGAAATGATTTAAAGTGAAACTGCTGGGTAATTATGCTGCGAGACTCACACCAAGGGCAGAATAATTAAAAGAAACAAGATGCTGTATCTATTGAAGTGTTTTGCAATTATTGCCCCGAGGTTCTTGAGGCATGTAGTGAATGTTACTGTATTCCTCACGTTGGCATCCTGACCTGTTCTGGTGAAGATTAATTTTTTTTTTTTGTTATTCTTTAGCAAACATATTTTGGTAATCTCTGAGAAGACTTGTTGTATTCAGGGCAGATGGTGATAAAAGTGTAGTTCAGTTTTCTTCTTATTTCATATGAACACAGACTCATCCCAAGGGAACCAACTGTGTCTGCAGCCAAGCTATATTAATCTCTCTTCTTCTCTGACTCTCCCTGTCTTTGTCCCCCACCTTCCTCTGCAGGTATCCCATCCAGTCGCCTCGGCCCGGTTGCTATGGCGATCGCGAGGACTCACCTGGAGTCCGCAACTATGGCAATAGGTCCCCTGATGAGCTGTTTGATGTCTACTGCTTTGCTAAGCAGCTTCAAGGTAGGAGTCAGGGGCTTCGACTATAAATTTGAGTTTAGTCATGCATGGCTCCGCTAAGCCGTGGGTGTGCAGCCGGAGAACGCTGTGACCAGGACTTAATGCTCTGTTAGCGCAGAAAGGAAGAGCCTCCCTGGGAGACGGAGGGGAGGAGAGTTCGTAGAAGTGAGAGGGAGAGCCAATATTGAGTCCAGCTGTCATGTTCATGCCTCCTGTAGGCATCGGCTAAGTGGGTCAGTAGTGTTATCCTAAAACTTTACTTTTTTATTCGCACTGCCACAGGTCGAGCTGAAAAGGGCAACAGGTGGACTAAATGTCTTTAGCTGGGTTTAATATCACACCTCCTCAGTCATTCACTACTCCCTGAATAATTCTCACTCAATATTTTTACACAAGTTTGAGCCTTAAATGGAGATTTCAGACACTAAAATTCATTCTGGCTTCTATAATTGTATTACACTGGGATGCTGTTAGCAGAAAGGAGTGTTTGCTGTAGACACATATTTACAGTCTTCTCTAACATAAGCCGCAAATGTTAGCATGTCTGGCTAACCAGCTTTTCTGTATGTAACCTAACAAAGTTTTACTTCCAAAGTAGCATCTCGTCCAATTTCGCAAACAGAGCAACTTCTATTCTTCTGCATGGATCAACAGCTGCGAGGGCTCTGACTTGTATTTTACCTTTCGGCTCACTCTGTTGTCATGAAAGCACATAGCAAAGAGCATGCAACAATCAATTGCATATTCAAAGAATTTTTTTCCTTTTAAAACAAGTTGGCTGGAAGCATTACAAGGCAGATGGAGACACAGTTGGCATTTCAACCGTTAAAATCAAGGGTTATTGGCGAGATGAAGGAGCTCTGCTTTTGTTTACTTCCGTGTGAAATACAAAAACTCTCAGTTTGAAAAGTTTCCCTCAGTTTTGCACAATAAACCAGAAGCCTCCTTGTCACGGTAAACTCCATATGCACCGCTGAAAGCTCAGCACGTATAGCAGCAGTAATTAAGGGCCAGCGCCTTAGTTTCATTTTTGCACAGCCAAAACGAAATGACAGTGACCCTTTATGAAGGATTATAGATAAGGAAGATGGACAGCTGTATTTTATCTAATTGATATCACGTCATCATCTGAAGGAATCTGGAGATATTAAAATGTTATTTTAAAACTATTTAATCCATTCATACTTCCATCTTTGACAGTACATCAGTAAAGCTAGAACTTCTAGAACATTGATTCGTTTCTGTGGGCTTTTGATACACTTTAGCATTTTGTGTATTTCTGAAAGGATTGTCTCAATTGCTAGTTTACATGGATTACTTTTCTTTAATCGTACACTGCATCTCCTTAACTTTGCTACTGGAAAGAACAACAACTACGTCTGAGCTAGTTTACCAAAGTTTTGCCCAAGATTTGGATTGAACAATAAGGCAGTCCTTTTAATGACAGCGTTCACTTTTCCCTGCACAAATGTTGATCCAAAACAGTTCCTTCGTTATCATTTTGCAGGGGCACCGTAGCTGCATCCTGGGCTTATCACCACCCAAGATAGTTGTGGTTAGGTAAATTAAATTCAAACAAGCTAGAGCGTCTTTTCCCCCAATGTAGAATGACATTAACCGTTATTCAGCACTGACACAAAGCTATGGAGCTTGAGCTGGCTATGCAACCCTATATCCTCATAGGTACTCTCTAGATATTAGTCAGTCCACTGCCACTCGTACATGACACGAGGTGTGTCAGAAGAGTTCCAGGACTGGTGTCATGAAAGATATATTTCAAACCCAAACTACAAGCTACTAGTTTTCCCCTTCAAATGATCAACCACAACGTCTACAAAGACATCCTGCGGCCTTTGCTTCGTTTGGTGCACAAGAAGAGGTGAGAGTTGTGGCAGGACAAGTCGTGGCTGCTTCACCATGACAACGTGCCTGCTCACAATGCCCTGAGCATCAGACAGTTCCTGGCTGAGAAGAACATTGCCGTGTTGGAGCAACCTCCCTACTCACCCCATCTGGCTCTGGCTCTGTGGGATTTTATCCTCTTCCCCAGTCTCAAGGGGGTCATCAAGAGGACTCGTTTTGAAGACGTGTGACAACAGAGCTGTGGAGGATCCCTGAAGAATCCTTCCAGGAGTGCATGGTGACATGGCAGAGACGGCTGGGAAAGGGTGTTAGACTCCAGGGGATTACTTCGAAGGGGAAAACTTGTAGTTTGTAGTTTGGATTTGAAATATATCTTTTGTGACACCAGTCCTGAAACTTTTCTGACATACCTTGTACATCCTGTCATTAACTAAGTATACTTACATAGCACAGTGCCTGTTAAAACTACTCACCTCCCTTGGAAGACTTTCCCTTTCAGTGCTTTTCAGCATGGTAACCTGCTCAATTTAATCTGACTTTTTCAACAAGAATGTACAAAAAAGGTTATTTTCATGTCAAAGTGAAAACAGATTCATACAAATAATGTCAGTTAACAATAGAAAAATTACAATTACTGATTGCATAAGTATTCACCCACTTCAAAGTGACTTAAATAATTCGACTCAGGTCACACAATTAATACATCAAAGCTCATCTGAGTGCAGTGAATGTGTCTTGATTGCGTAAAGACGCCTGTATGTGGAAGGTCGCTGGTGAATCAGTACTTTTGGCTATTCAGCGAGATTCAATTGTCTATGACCAGCTTTGATTCAGTGTTGAATGTTCATTGCCATCACTGCTGTTCTCACGACATTTCAGATGCTCCACCTCTCTTCCACCATTAAACTGTAGACACTGACTCCACGTTCCTCCGGGGGGGGAAGTGATTATCATCATTTTCTAGTCCCTGCTGTGTTGAGCTCGGTGTTTCCTCAAGGGGGAATGACGGGCTCAGTGCTCGAACGCCAAATATCAACAAGGCACAGAGCTTGCCTTCACATTATAATCAATTCCATGTGAATTGCCTGACTGGAAATTAGGTGTTTGTGTTACTTCGTTAACCTCCTGCATATTCCTGAGAACAATCATAATAGCAGCGGGCTTTTTAACGTGGCGGTCTGACCCGCTACAGGGGTTAGTTTATCTGGGTCACTTATTACGAGGCAGCACGACCTGCAACTGTCATTAAGCATAATAGTAGCTTCCAGAGCTATTCATAGACGATATGAACGCCCTGTATGTGACTGAGATGCTGAGCAGAGAAGATTGCATGATCACCTCTTGACTTTGTATCCAGCAGTTTACAGTATCATTCAGTAGAATTACCGATCTGATTGAAACAATCAGGAGATAATTGTCTTCTGTCAAGATAAAATTGCTGGCTGATACATCGCTGGTGTTTCCTCTTTTATTCTGTGAAAAAAACAACAAGTAGAACGTTAATTATAACCTCTGTATTGTGCACAGTAACAAGCCTCGGTTTGGTTTTCACAAAAAGGGCCGTAGCTGAGTTGATTTTAAAATTTTTTCAACCTCAAATCCATATTGATTAGCAACTTTGCACCAGCCTTCCAATACATATTTTAAGCATGTTTTTTCTGGCATCTCTTCAAATATCTCTGTTCTGCTTCTTTCTGCTTTCATTTTGTTTGCATCTTGACCCTTTGCCCTTCTTCTCTATGTTGTGTTTCAAACAGAAACTCTTTTTTCTCTCGGCATAAATCTCCTGGATGCTGCTATCAGACGTGTTCTTCTGTTCTCTGCTCCCCATTCTCACTGTCCAGCCCTTCAGCTCATATATTTTTCATCGCACCCTGAACTGCCAGTGGATCATCTGATCACTTAATTTTATTTGTGCTGTGTAGACATAGTGGTCTTCTTCAACGCTCGCTGTCTCGCTTGCCAGTGTCCTATTTTTGTATTACTATTTTATCAACATCACCGGCACCTTTCTCCAGCGCCTTCTTTCTTCCTCTCCTTCCGTTGCTGTCTGTGCGCTTGTCTTTCTCTTAGATCCCTTTTTGCAACTACTTTGAATACAAAGAATTGCCTTTATATTGTCTGTCCTTTGAATTGTCAGAAGTTTTTTTTTTATTATTCTAAGCAAAAATAAAGCCTTCTTTTGCATCACAAGTAAACCTTTTCTTTTATCCCTTTACTTCCAGTCTCCACCCTTTTATTTCTTTTACAAAGTTGACAAAGGAGAAAAAGAACAGGGCTAGAACTTATTGCCTTTAAAGTGCCTTGAAAGAAAATACTTGACAGACTCACACACATACATAGAGACAGAAATGTGTCTTCATCACTTTGTACAAACCGGGAAGCCATGAGACCGGTCCTGTCTCAGAAACCTACGATTGTAAACCAGCTGAACAAACATGATGTTGGACTAAGAGCTGAAAGGCCTGTGCTCTGTAACACACTCAACTCTTTGTCTCTCCTCATTCTCCTCCTTCCAGGTGAAGTCTTCCACTCCACAGAGCCAGACAAGCTGAGCCTTGCCACCGCCTCCACCCACTGCCATTCGCTGGGAGCCCAGCTGGCCACAGTCGGGCAGCTCTACCTGGCCTGGCAGGCCGGTCTGGACCAGTGTGATCCTGGCTGGCTGGCCGACGGCAGCGTTCGCTATCCCATCAATGTTCCACGCAAGAACTGCGGCGGAGACGAACCCGGGGTACGGACCGTCTACAACAACCCCAACCGCACCGGCTTCCCCGACACCACGGCCCTGTTCGACGCCTTCTGCTACCGAGGTACCGAGAGCTCTGTGATGATGAAGTTGATGTGGCGTCATTGTGGTAATTTCCATGGCAACGGCAGCAAGGGGTCTGGGGACGTTCCATTCTGATTTTTAATTAGCACGAGATGTTTGTGTCACACATGAAGGAGTTGAGAAGAGATTGTGTGACATTTGTGGACCCCCTGGTGGATTTCAGGGCTTGTATGTTGTGTGTGGTGAAGCCTGAGAGCAGGAATAAAAAGAGAGATTAAAAGAGTGAGAGCATGAATACAATAAGTCCAGCTAGGCTTTCCAGTGACTGTGTCTGACCTTGTCCTCCCACCACGTGCTAACTGAGACTGTAATAAGTTTGTTTCATTGTCACATTGCATTGATTTTACACCTCATTCTGTGCATTGATATTGTGCAGTCAATCATTTCAAAGCTGGTTTTCTGTTTTTTGCTGGCTTGCATTGATTGCAGCAGACTGCAGATTAATGTTTGAAAATTATATTTCCACCAATAGGGGGAAGAAAAAAAAAAAAGAAAGGACGTTTTCATCTCTCACAATGTCAGCGTATGGAAATATCACTGAAGCAAAACATCTGCATAACCCAATCATTTTAAGTAAACAAGAACAGCATGAGAGCAGAGCAGCAGTAAATCTGTCAAAACAAACAGCTGATAGATGAACCTCTTCATTGCACCAACAATGTCTGTGTGCACATTTGCATTAATATTTAACACAAATGATGTCTTTCAGATAGCTAAAAGTAGATAAAAATGGTAATATGTTTTCCTTTAATAACATAGATTTGGTTCATGTGAATAATATTGCCGGTATAATCTCATCAATGTTGCATGAACACAATGTATGTGTGTTTGGTAATTTAAAATGATCGGAGTTTGTTGTAGAAAAACTCACTTGCGATATACTCGTCAAGCCACAACACTGTATCGTGCTCTGAATTTAATCTCGTTTCGATAGCAGTAGCTAAAATGAGGTTTTATTTCTGTGTTGTGCAGCAGCAGATAAAGCAGGTCAAATGAAATGTGGATGTTGTGTGTTGCAGCCCACCAGCCGGCAGGGGTCCAGGCTGCAGAAGCACGGGCTTTGTACCAGACGGCCAGCCCAGCAGCAGACGCCATGTCCGCAGTCACCGAAGCCCAACGTAGCGACCCTGTGTCCAAGACTTCCACCTGGACCGGCCTGGTCGACCTGGAGAAAGTAGGAGCCCCCTCTATTGTAGGAGCAAACAACTCATCTGAGATCTCTGAAGAGCATGTAGTGATCCACTTAAGGCCCGGGGAGGGTTGGGATGAAAGACAGGATGGACCCAGAACCAGCCAACCCAACCAGGATGGCCCAAAGAATGGCAACACTTTGGGTCTTTCTGATCTTGAAAGTCTGGAGAGTCACGGAGGCTCTGCCCACGAGGAAGAAGACGGCAGCTACTTTGGATCTGACACCCCGACTTTATCCTCCATAGATGCTTCCACGCCCCAGCCTCAGACCAGTAACAGTATTCTGACTGAGTTTGTTAACACTCTTATGAGGCCATTTAAGTACTGGACTGGAGGCGAAGGTGGTGAAGCTACAGAGCAGGAACCCACAGGGCCTGAAGAAAAAGCAGCAGGGAACCAGACGCAAGGAGAAGCATCCAGCAGAAACCTGAGCACACCGAAGGCCAGCGGAAACAAGGGCAGCATGGACAACGCCATCATGGAGCATAGAAGTGGCGCTTTTCCCTTTAGGGGTCACACCACTCGACTGCAGAGTCCAGACGAAGGTCTGTCTGAGCAGGAAAAAGAGGTGATGCCATTGATTCGATTAGTGCCTGCAGTGCAAAATGCAGGGCAAAGCGAGGCCAGCAGCGGTCCAGTCAAAGGAGCAGCCAGCGCATTCACTGAAAACCCTCAATCTACTGGCAACGGTACGAGCTCTGCTTTGACTTTGTTTGTGCCTGTGTGTATTTAGCGTTCAACTTTAACCTTTAAAACTAATAACCGCACGTGAAATTGAAACAGAATTGAGGCAGAATTGAAAGTGTTGTGTTTCAAATGGAGGTGTGGTGCATTTAAATGTCGCTGGTAAATATAGAATCTGTTTATGTCATGCTTTTAAATAGTCTGTGCCTCTCCGTTCTGCTCTCTCCTTTTCCCTCGAGTATGCTATAATATATTCCTCCGCAGGGCAATTTGAAGTATTGCTGTAAATTTAATTAAACGGTAATTGCAAACAAACAAAAGGGGCAAGCCACGTACAGTAAATGCAGAATGTCGAAGTGCAGGCTGTTCTTCCTTCTCTCACACATATATATATTAACAGGGGGTTTTGTTTACAGTACAGGCTTTCAGAAAAGGGTAACGGCTAGGCTTGAATTTTTTAAAATCTATTTTGATGTAATAAAAGGTTTCTTCGCGTATCTGTTATTTGTTTTAAAAGAAAGCAGACCTGCATCCCAAATTACAGCTTATTTTTTCGGGAGTCAAAGATGCATTAGAGTGAAAAAGTGACAAAGATTAACTGTGGAGAATAAATTAAACGGAGGAGAAAAACAAAGCAAATTTCCAGAAATGGTTGGAAGTCCAGTGTGGTAGTGTAGGTGGACGTCTCTGAAGAACCTAATGGATCTGGAGACAGTTAACATCCACAGTGGAGTGAATTACCTTCAGGGTGGATGCATCACAACAAACCTGAGGATAGATAAGGTGATCAGGTTGCTGTGTTCAGCTCCAAAGCGCCCTGGGACTCAACCAGAATTCGCTAGTTTTTAACTGTAGGGAGACTAGTGGACTAAAGATCAGTGGAACGTGACTGGAAGATTGCTGGACCAATAATTACCGGAGCAAAGCGTCTACAGTAATGCCAGATTACATCTCAGTAGAGAAATGTACAGAACAGGAGCTGAAATGAAAGTGTACCACAGCCTTGGGTTGAAGGAGGCTGCTTTTTCTTTTAATGGCCACCACAAATAACACATCCTTGGCAGCGGCTAAAAGGGGAGGATACAAAGTAAGACAAACACTCTCACACTGACAGCCAGAAGAATGATTCAATAAAGATGGGCTTTTCTCACCTAGCAATTGCTGGCTTTATTAATATAAATACTCACTGCTGTGCTACCTGAAATTCCATGGCAACCCAATCCCAAGGTATTAATGAAAATCCAAGCTTTAGTCTGCATGCATTATTCACAGCCTCATCCAATTAACGTGGAGGTTGGGCTGCACTGCGGTTCACTCTAACCTCCATCTATGTCTCTGCCAATTAGGCTCCGGCTCTCTGAAGGTAGGCGGTAATGATCACTACAGCGAGGGTGAGCAACACACGAGGGGCATGAGTAGAGCGAGCAAGAGGGAAGAAAGGGAAAGCAGGAGGAAGGAGGGTGAGGTGAAGACGCGACGTTCTTTAATGTTGCTGTGATGGAAAGATGCCCAACTGATGTATCTTCTTAAAGCAGCTTCAGTGAGCTGAATTAAGTCTGTTATTGCACACCGCGGGCTATCCCTTGGATCTCAACACTCCTTAGCGATTGATGGTGCCATGTTGCCTCTTTGATTGAGGGGAATGCAAAGCTTTGCTCTGCAGACGGCGCATCTAAGGAAGAATTTGAATATTGACTCAAATTATTGTGAAAATTTGCAAAAGGGTCTCTAAGTGCAGAGCGATAATTTCAATTATTTCCCCTCCAAATCAAAATATTTTGAGCATTTTATCGAATTAAGTAGTATTCTCTCAGCTGCCTCAGACAAATGTTGAATTTGAATGAGCTCCACATGCAAATCTTGACTGTCTGTCAAGGAAATACATGTCTGCTTCACACCAGTTTTGTCAGCCCCAGAGACTAAATTTATGTGATAGAAGACAGTTGGACCTATGCGCTGACACTGAGTGTAGATGCTCCTGACATGATTCACACGGCCATGCAATAACTTCTGCTCAGCCGTTTTTTTTTTTTCTTTTTTTTTATTAGATGCCATATCTGTAGATAGGATGAGGTGGCACTGGTACCATCTGTCTCGCTCTCTTTCTCTTTCTCTCATTGTCAGCCTCCGCTCTCACAATTTAATATCATGTCTGCCTGACCCGAGGGATTCTCTCAGCCCGTTTACTCCAGTAAAGTGGAGTCAACACGGCAGAACCACTCACAGTGGAAGCACACAATTACTGTCTGAATGGGGTTTATTATGAGTTTGTTTTGCAGCATATCTGCTTTGAGTTGTGGCTTTTTTCCAGCAGGCCCATCACCGACAGATTTACAGCCGCAAAGATGAACTTTAACCGTGCTCTAAATAGCGCCGTGAAATCCCCCAAACCTACACCTAATTGTCTCAATTTATTTATTACATGGGTCATTACATAGATGATCAAACCAGATTAATGTGTTTAATTATTCTCACTTCCATCAGTGTGTGTAGTAAAAGTATGTAATTAGCTATTTGGATTATTAATAGGACAATTACGCCAGGCTACATGGCTCTTATGGAAATGAACCTCTGACTCATAAACCTCACTTAGGCGTAAGGCAACAGCGAACCTTCTGAATAATTTACATATGCGTTAATATTTTATGCATGGACATATTTGTGTATGTTCTCCCTCCTGAGGTAATTTGTTGTGCTGTATTCCTGTACTTTTTCGGACATGTTAACCGGACCGAGGACAGCCAAACCGAGCTGAGCGATGATGAAGATAGCAACGCTAGCTGGGCCGCTTAGTCACGCAGCTGCACCGCTGCCCAAAAAAAAAAGAAAAAGAAAAGAAAAACACCCCGACACACACCAAGCTCTGAGTCACACATGCAGACAGAATGAATTATTGATGGTGTAGACAGAGTCTGGTTTAAAGCTGTAAGCTGATAAGGTACAGTGGACCACTTCATCTAAATAAACAGATCTAGATGGAGCTTGTTGTGGAGCTAGTCATTTGCTTATCGTGTTTCAAGTGCTCCTGCGTTTTTCCACATGGCTTCTCTCACCACAGGCAAGTGTATTCCAGCAGGATGTTGTTTTGGGTAAAAGAATCCACAGGGAACAAGAAAACAGGGACAGAGAAGAGAGGTGTGAAATTACATTTGAATACATCCTCCCATCCTTTTAGTGTGTGTTTATCTGTGTGCATGTGTGTGTTCACCCTCACAAGGGGCGCCTCCCCCAGTTTTGTTTGCAAACTCTAACAACTTTGGTAACCACATTGATAAAGTTCACTGGTGAGGAAAGAAATCCAAAACTTCCCAATAACAGTTAACTGCTACTTGAAGATTGCCAAAAATTACAGTTTTCCTTCAGCTTAAAGGAACACACAGAGGGAAAACTGAGCGTTAATCCCAGGTAACTTCTTAAACTTTATATCGTATTGGCATATGCACACCTTTAGCAAATTTTGAAAAGCACAATTTAGACTAACTTCCTTAGATTTGTACATTTGTTCAAGTAACACTTATAAAATCGTGATGGAAAAAAAAAGTTACATTTATAAATAAATATGTGATCACTTGTTAACGTAATACACAGTTTTTGCATAGAAATAAACATGACAACCAATCGTTAACAGTATTTTTGCAACTGCTTTTTTGTAGATTATTTGGTGGAAAGACAAGCCAAGCACTGGCCATAAAACTCCCTTTGTGTGTTTTCCCTCCTTTTTGATTGCCTGCCCTGCCCTCATTGGTTTCACCGATGTCTTGTTTCATCAATCAGCCCTTCTGTGTATATGTAGTCTTATCTCTCCTGGTTTTAGTTGCCAGTTAGTGTTTACCTGGCTGATCACCTGCCTGAATTCTCCCCACGTTCTATGTACTCTTCTGGCCTGTGCATTTAGTTTTTTTTTTAAGCCTTTTGTGTTACTACATTTTCTGGTTTCAGTTTGTTCCCACTTTTGATTTTTGGTTAAACCTTGCCTGCTGCCTGTGTGTGTGTTTGTTTTTCAAATGATTAACCCTTCAGTTAGTCAGTTAGAAATCTGCCTCCTGTGTCTAAATTTGGGTCCTCTCATGACATCCCATACCACATTATTTGGTTTGACCTGGGTCATACCGTAGCTTCTGAAATGAAATATTGAAAATTTTGTTAACGTTGTTTAACACTTTTGGTTCTTCACATGAAAAACGTTGTGTTTTTGTTCTTATCGTTGCTTATTCAGTGGGTCCAGTTGATTCCTAAGACAGTTGTGAGGTTGTTTGCTTATGGTGCTGGACAAACGTTTATTCAATTCTCCCATAGTCCTATCATCCATCCATCTATATACTGCTTAATCCTCATTAGGGTCGCGGGGGGCTGGAGTCTATCCCAGCTGATTTAGGGTGAAGGCAGGTGACACCCTGGACAGGTCAACAGTCTGTCACAGGGCTACACTTAGAGACAGACAACCAAGCACACTCACATTCACACCTACAGGGAGAACATGCAAACTCAACGCAGAAATATCCCAGGCGTCCCAACCGGGATGTCAGTCTTCTAGCTGCGAGGCGACAGTGGTAACCACGACCCACCGTGAATGCCCAATAGTCCGATCAAGGAAGCAGAAAAAAATTCTGTTGAACTCTCACAAAGTCATACCTGAGAATGTTTTGTTTTCCCAAACTTTATGTTTTCATGTAACTTGTCATGATTATATCAAAGTATAACAAGAGAACTAACACGTGAAGCAACGTTTTCAGAGTGTTTAAAGCTGCCAGTATTTGACAGTTACATTTCACAATCCACATGGATGTGGTCTCCTTAATTTTGAGTTGATTAGGTTTTATTGTCCCAAAATTGTTTGCAGAAGAGGGGTACAAAGGGAAAAAAAACAGATGTAACTCCTGTTTAAGAAGTCCAATATCCACTATGTGATTAATATACCGGTTCAGACTCAAATCACTGGTCTCAGTGGAGCCATGGCCTTGCCAACACAGTGTCATGTTTCCATAATCATTTTGAAACTGTGCTCCCTGAACAAGTTTCACTGGGTTCATGTAAAGCTGGCTTGAGCTTTTAATTGCTAATTCTACATCCATAAAATTAAATTCACCCCATCCCCCGATGATAGAATTGTATTAATTAGTCTGTTCTGTCTCTTTGTTCCCTGTAGAGTTCCCTTCATCGGCTCCTACTGAGAGATCACCACCCAGTGAACATGTCAACATATCCGGTCCTCAGGGTCCCAGAGGACGCCCTGCCTTTGCTCCTGCCCCGAGCAGCCAGTTTCAGTGGGCCATCAAGTCCATGCGTGGCCCCAAACAAGGCTCTGCTGGAAATGTGGCCTACGTGGGTAAACATCCCACCTGGGGGCCGATGGAAGCCAAAGCAGGGCCCCTTGAGGTGATGACCCTACCCACCTCACTTCGACAGGACACCCCGGAAAACTATTCAGGTGAGGGCAAGGACCAGGATGCAGAGAGTGCTACTACTCCAACTGCCAGAAGTGGATCAGGCGAGGAGAAGGAGATTGAGGGGAGTGGAGAGGGGACCAACTATCCTGGTGGATTTGCAGTGAAAGTTGACAGTTTGGCCAGCAGTGGTGTCAAACTGAGTCCTGAAACCGAACCTTCACCAAGCCAGAGGGATTTGGTCACTGTGGCCGAGCACACTACTCTGTCCCAGTGGCAGCTGGTGGAACAACCCACAACTCCACCTCAGGGCTCCCAGGATCCAGACACAGCAGAGGAGGCCAGGGGAGAGATCCTCTACGTCCGCCGGCCTACTGACAATCTCTCTTCTGCCTCCTCGCGCAGAGGGGAGGGTGGTTCAAATTCAGGTTTCATTCCAGTTCTTAGGAAGCACAACAAAGGCACCAGCAGGAATGAGGTGATGACTACTACACATGAAGCTTTGATGGAGGTGTTGACAACTTCTGAGGTAACAACGGTGGAGCCTGCCACCACAGCAACCACCCCACAAAACACCGCCGACACTTCCTCCACAGAGGAGCCGTCTATTTCCATTTCATGGGTTCAGGAAGAGAAGGAGAAAACTACGAACTTACCCAACATGCAGGGCCACCTCTCAGCGACTGGAGGACCTCAAACAGCTACTGGAGTCCTTCTGTTGACCACCCACGCGTCAGACTCCAAAGTCGTTGCGACAGCAATGGAATCCAGATCTGCAGTTTCTGAGTCCTTCGTTGTGGGAAGTCGTTGGACACCCTTCAAAGGCTCAAAGCCGGAGGAACAAAAAACCCCAGAGACGACAGAGAGCAAAGACTCAAACAATCCTTTTGGCATTCTCGAACCCAACTGGCCGTTTGAGCTCATCCCATCAGGTAGGTTGACTCCATGGTGTTACCAGTGAATGACCTGTCATCGTTGTCTGAATGATTATGAGTGATTGTCTAATCAGTCGCACTTTCTTTAAATAAGTATGCAGTAACAGCAGTAAGTTAAACCTCCACCTGCATTCACAGTCTCTGCAAACCACCTCAAATATAAAATATATACTCCTCTATTTCCTTTCTCTGTCCGTCGCTTGTTGTTTCATTTTACATCTTCTTTCTGTCTCTTGCTCTGACATACATCATGCATTCTTAATCCTGCCTTGTTCTTTCCCTTTGCCTTCACATCCTTTTTCTTTCCACGACCCTCCCTCTCTGGATGGTTTAGAGACAGCTCCTGACAGCGAGGCAGTTTACTGAGGTGAGACCAACTAGGTCTTAGTGAAGTAATTAGCGGGTCACAGTGAGTGCAATTAGGTGAACTGGGGAGAGGCGGAGATCCTGGTACCCAACAAATCAATGTAGACACAAACTACAAGATGGGACTCGTAATTGACTGTGGTCTCTTGTCTTTTCTCATTTTCTAGTTTGTTCATGTTCGCTCTGCTCTTTCTCTCACATTCGGCTCAACTTTCTTCTCTCGCAGGCTATCTGCTGTTCGCAGTCATAGCGCTTTCTGTGCCGTTTGTCTCAGCATGCGCGCATTGATTTCTTTTGATAGTTAATGGAACCGCGACTGTGGCAGGAAACCACAAAGTAAATGAACATAGCAAACACTGTATTCTTAGCGCCGCTCATTTCTTCCTTGTCTAAATTTGTAATCTTAACGACCAAAATGTGTTTGCTTAATGTTTAATGTATTTGTCTTGAAGGACTGCAATATTTATTGTGTCTTTCTGCTTAACTAATGCCCCTCATTCTTCCCCAGCTCTGTGCTTCTGGTGTTTTTTGGGTTTTTGGAAATACATTTTTAAAATCCTGACTTGGGTGATTAGTCATCTTGTTCAGCAAAGTGCATATCTTAAAGTTGGTTTCTTAAGACGTCCCATGGAGGGGACAGAATTTGTAGGTATTAAGTAGCTTAATTTACATGAAGTCTAATAACAATGATTAACCTGATTGTAAAATTACTTCCAATTACTGTTTGTTTTTGAATAAATGTCCTCTCTCTTTGCAAGACTTGAGCTGCTCCTGTAATATTCACCACTTTATTGCCCACATTTTCACACATTTCAGCAATAGTGACCATGCTTTGACTGGTGTTTTTTTGTTTCTCAGTGAAACCAGCCCTGATCCAGAGATATTTCCTAGTTTACATGGCATTGTGAAGCCGAGGACTTGCCTTTACCCATTTAATAACAGCGGGAGGGGGATATTCTGATAAGATTGTGATTTCAGTAGAATGCACAGCAGCAAACCAATAACAAAGGCTCAACGCTGCTCCATCTTGTTTGCTTGAGGTGGAGTGCTGCATTCAATATATTTCGCATTTTCTCAATGCTTTCTGTGGAGCTTAGCCGTGACCCATTATGCAATCATTTAATTTCGTGTAAATACTTCAGATAGTTCTCATTTTGAGAAGAAAAACTTTGGTTTATGTGACCGGGCAGCTCAAGGACACTTCCTGTCTTTCTTGAGATTAAATTGCAGTCTCCATACTCACTGTATCATCCTGTTTCATAATCAGAAAATTAAAACAAAGCAGTCAGTACCAGAGGACATTTTTGTCTTTATCAGGGTGATATTTGAATGGACTGAGTGGCCCTGGTCTTGTTGAGTGATTAGAAGCATGAGACCCCTCCCTCTGCGTGACCTTTTGTAGTTGTCAGTTTTTAGTACAGAGGAAATTACAGCAGCGGTTGTCTGCCCATTACTGCGCAGAGATAGAGACGCAGGAGGGAAAAGGGCAAGAGGATGGACAGCTCCGGGAAGGAGGAATAGGGGATGGGGGTGTTGAGGGAGAAGGGGAAGAGAGGTGAGTGTGTCCTCCACAATTTTGTGGGTTGGAGTACATAAACCTCTTTAATCAATGATCAGAGACTACGCTAACACAGTTTCGAAGGCCTCCAGAGAGCATATTTCTCCCCCTCTGCTTTTCTTTTCCCCTTCCTTCTTTTCCTTCTTTACATTTCTGCGCTTCCTTGCAATCTTTATTCATTGTTTGTGCACAACGGGGGCCCCCTCTGTGTCCTATTTGGCCATATATCGCTGTGATAAGACACTGATATATGACGCCGAATCCAGCTTTTCCAATTCCCCATCGCTCTGGCCTCCAGCTAAACCCACACAGATTGGTGGACATACTCACACATAAAAAAATAAAGCTAGAAATTCCAGGCTCACTCAGAAGTAAACCTCGATAATCCATCCCACATGTCGCACCATCACAGAATATGTCTTAATCCTTCACTGCAAACACTGTAAGAAAGTAAACACATTTTTTTTAATTGCTCATATCTTCATTTCCATATTGTATAATCCTAAAATGGAAGTTTGCAACATGACAAAAAAAAAGTTACAAAATTGATTTCCAGTCCAACGCATTCCAACGTGAATGGAGATTTACTGAGCGCTTCAGAACACTGGCTTCCAGCCCTTTGCGTTGATGAAGCAAGGCAGGTGCATACAGTAATATCGGCTGCCTGTCCAGCCTTTAAATTACCGATGCCAGTCTGATACTCTGGCAAACAGGCGAGAGGATGCCTCTGAGTTATAGTCATCTTGACTAAAGCCTTGTCCCAGTCTCAAGATGGATCAGACCCCTGGCAACATCAATAACACGGCAGCCAGCCCTCAACCAAATTAGAGTGTTAAATTTGGAGGAGAAGAGCCAGTAGGTTGAAGTGTGTGTACATGTGTGCATGCCCATGTATGTGTGTTTGTGGGCGGACGGGGGGAAGACGGAGATAAATGGAGACAGGGACAGGCTGGGGTGGCATATTATCAGTGTGGGTCTGTGGATAGATGTTCAGTTTGTCTGCTGGCTGTTGGAGTCCTTGGATAGGCTGTCTGGAGCAGCGAGAGGGCACATTCTCAGTGCTGCATATAGAAGCCTATTGATTTTCCTGCCTCTCGCTCCCTGTGTCTCCCATCTTTTTTTTCTTCACTATCCTTCTTTCTGTATCTTCTCAGTCTCTGCCATACCGGCTTTTTTTTTTTTCTCCATCTCTCTCGCACTCTATCTCCCTGACTTTATGTCTTTTATTACTCCTCTGGTCATTGTTATGACTCCCCCCGGCATAATGTTTTGATAGCCTCTTGAACCCTAATGTGATGCAACACGAGGCAGTCAATTGCCGTCAAAGCGCATCTGTCCCTCCGAGCGATCCTCAGTAGGATCCTCATCACCGTCTTTTAAAAAAAATGAAAAGAGCCACCTCCCTTTAAATCCATCCATCGCCTAATCTATCATCTTCCTATCTGCTCCTCATCTCCAAGTTTCTCTTTTTCTTTCTTTTCATGGTGTAATTCCACAATTTTTCCATTTCAAACACTCCTGCTGAATCTAATCCTGTGCTATTGGCTGCTGCTTATTAAATGAATGGGATTTGTTAAAGAACTGCCTTGAGGGACATTGGGTTCTGTCTTGGTGTGGGATGAAATGGCGTTACACAGCGCTCTGTGCTTACTGAGCACAGGCTCTTTGTATCCGGTTAGCCAGGGAAATAACCGAGCAACCAGAGTGTTGAAAATGAGCTTAAACAGAATCTGCTGAGGAATCACACTGAGCCTTTTGTGTAAATCACTGACTGCTAATAATGATAATGCATACCACTTAGAAATACACAGAAGTCTCCAATGTCCGTCTCGCTCTAAACGCCTGTCTATATTCCAAGATGAAATACCGTTACACATCTCAGTCTGGCGAAGGTTGTTGAAGACAAAAGGCGAGTTATTAAAAACAAAGCCATTTTTTTTAGAAACATGTCAAAATCCCATTATTGCCTCTCACAGATAAGAGACCAGAGACAATTAATCAATACCGTCTCATCTTACTGACAAAGTCAAACAACCCAGCCAGGTTTTCTTTTATGACTTCAGGCTGCTTCATTCTTAGATTATTGGTGCTGACATGAATGATAATGTTGCTTCTATACCGTCAGTTGTGTTGCTGGGTTCCCTGATTCTCCATACATGATGCAAGTGCCCTTGGGATGTGAGAATCTCAGACTATGGGTTAACGGTACGCTGTGGCTAGGAATTCTAAAATGAAACCGCAGGCAACGTGCATTGTTTAACCCCTCTTTACTCCTCTTCATGAGGCTACATGATTTATGGCCAAAATGACGTCAGTGAGACTGATATTGAAAATCATCTTGCAGTGTGAATGTGAGAATGCTAAACCGGTAGTGTGCAATAAGGCTAAGCTAGTGCTAAGATGACAACAGAACTTCAAACAAGTCTGCACCAATTTGGATTGCCTGAGGTAGAACAGTTAACACAAACTGGAGACACTATGTTTACTGTGGTCAAGTAGAGGCAAAGTTTACTAAATTGTAAAAAAAAAAAAAAAAATCTTACAGTTTATATGTGATTAAAAAAACAAAAAACCCCCAAAATAATTTAGTGTTAGTTTACAGATTTTCTTTACAGATATTCAGTCAGATAATAACTCTGACTGATTAATTTAAAATGTGTAATTTAGTAGTTAACTATAATAAACAGGCCAAAACTATTGTCCCTAATCTGTTCTCTTACAACTGCTAATTAAACTTTCACATATTTGATTGTAAAATTTTCTCTCTTTTTTTTCCTTTTTAAAAAAAAAAAAAAAAACTGTCTTTAAATCGGCAAAAAAAAATCAATTATTTAACAGATATTTTTTGTTATTTGAAAAAAAAAAGTACATTAAGGACTGAAAGATCATCATTTTTTTTGTTGTTTTTTTTGTTTTCTTTTAACATAAATGTTTGTTCAGTGTAAGTTAGGCTAGAACCTAAGCTAACAAGGCAGCAGCTAATTTTGATGTATTTTCAATTGAAACCAGAATATGTTGGTAGGATATTATTATGAGAATGATTTAAATCTGCAGCAAACCTTTGCTTGTGACT